CACAGACAAGACAAGCACTGACCACATCATATGCCACACAGACAAGCACTGACCACATCATGTGCCACACAGACAAGACAAGCACTGACCACATCATATGCCACACAGACAAGCACTGACCACATCATGTGCCACACAGACAAGACAAGCACTGACCACATCATATGCCACACAGACAAGCACTGACCACATCATATGCCACACAGACAAGCACTGACCACAGCATATGCCACACAGACAAGCACTGACCACATCATGTGCCACACAGACAAGCACTGACCACATCATATGCCACACAGACAAGCACTGACCACAGCATATGCCACACAGACAAGCACTGACCACATCATATGCCACACAGACAAGCACTGACCACATCATATGCCACACAGACAAGCACTGACCACATAATATGCCACACAGACAAGCACTGACCACATCATATGCCACACAGACAAGACAAGCACTGACCACATCATATGCCACACAGACAAGCACTGACCACATCATGTGCCACACAGACAAGACAAGCACTGACCACATCATATGCCACACAGACAAGCACTGACCACATCATGTGCCACACAGACAAGACAAGCACTGACCACATCATATGCCACACAGACAAGACAAGCACTGACCACATCATATGCCACACAGACAAGCACTGACCACATCATATGCCACACAGACAAGCACTGACCACATCATATGCCACACAGACAAGACAAGCACTGACCACATCATGTGCCACACAGACAAGACAAGCACTGACCACATCATATGCCACACAGACAAGACAAGCACTGACCACATCATATGCCACACAGACAAGACAAGCACTGACCACATCATATGCCACACAGACAAGCACTGACCACATCATGTGCCACACAGACAAGACACGCACTGACCACATCATATGCCACACAGACACGCACTGACCACATCATATGCCACACAGACAAGCACTGACCACATCATATGCCACACAGACAAGACAAGCACTGACCACATCATATGCCACACAGACAAGACAAGCACTGACCACATCATATGCCACACAGACAAGCACTGACCACATCATATGCCACACAGACAAGACAAGCACTGACCACATCATATGCCACACAGACAAGCACTGACCACATCATATGCCACACAGACACGCACTGACCACATCATATGCCACACAGACAAGCACTGACCACATCATATGCCACACAGACAAGCACTGACCACATCATATGCCACACAGACAAGCACTGACCACATCATATGCCACACAGACAAGCACTGACCACATCATATGCCACACAGACAAGACAAGCACTGACCACATCATATGCCACACAGACAAGCACTGACCACATCATGTGCCACACAGACAAGAAACGCACTGACCACATCATATGCCACACAGACACGCACTGACCACATCATATGCCACACAGACAAGCACTGACCACATCATATGCCACACAGACAAGACAAGCACTGACCACATCATATGCCACACAGACAAGCACTGACCACATCATATGCCACACAGACAAGACAAGCACTGACCACATCATATGCCACACAGACAAGCACTGACCACATCGTATGCCACACAGACAAGACAAGCACTGACCACATCATATGCCACACAGACACGCACTGACCACATCATATGCCACACAGACAAGCACTGACCACATCATATGCCACACAGACAAGCACTGACCACATCATATGCCACACAGACAAGCACTGACCACATCATATGCCACACAGACAAGCACTGACCACATCATATGCCACACAGACAAGCACTGACCACATCATATGCCACACAGACAAGACAAGCACTGACCACATCATATGCCACACAGACAAGCACTGACCACATCATGTGCCACACAGACAAGACAAGCACTGACCACATCATATGCCACACAGACAAGCACTGACCACATCATGTGCCACACAGACAAGACAAGCACTGACCACATCATATGCCACACAGACAAGCACTGACCACATCATGTGCCACACAGACAAGACAAGCACTGACCACATCATATGCCACACAGACAAGACAAGCATTGACCACATCATATGCCACACAGACAAGCACTGACCACATCATATGCCACACAGACAAGCACTGACCACATCATATGCCACACAGACAAGCACTGACCACATCATATGCCACACAGACAAGCACTGACCACATCATATGCCACACAGACAAGCACTGACCACATCATATGCCACACAGACAAGCACTGACCACATCATATGCCACACAGACAAGCACTGACCACATCATATGCCACACAGACAAGCACTGACCACATCATGTGCCACACAGACAAGCACTGACCACATCATATGCCACACAGACAAGCACTGACCACATCATATGACACACAGACAAGCACTGACCACATCATATGCCACACAGACAAGCACTGACCACATCATGTGCCACACAGACAAGACAAGCACTGACCACATCATATGCCACACAGACAAGACAAGCACTGACCACATCATATGCCACACAGACAAGACAAGCACTGACCACATCATATGCCACACAGACAAGCACTGACCACATCATATGCCACACAGACAAGACAAGCACTGACCACATCATATGCCACACAGACAAGCACTGACCACATCATATGCCACACAGACAAGCACTGACCACATCATATGCCACACAGACAAGACAAGCACTGACCACATCATATGCCACACAGACAAGACAAGCACTGACCACATCATATGCCACACAGACAAGCACTGACCACATCATATGCCACACAGACAAGACAAGCACTGACCACATCATATGCCACACAGACAAGCACTGACCACATCATATGCCACACAGACACGCACTGACCACATCATATGCCACACAGACAAGCACTGACCACATCATATGCCACACAGACAAGCACTGACCACATCATATGCCACACAGACAAGCACTGACCACATCATATGCCACACAGACAAGCACTGACCACATCATATGCCACACAGACAAGCACTGACCACATCATATGCCACACAGACAAGCACTGACCACATCATATGACACACAGACAAGCACTGACCACATCATATGCCACACAGACAAGCACTGACCACATCATATGCCACACAGACAAGCACTGACCACATCATATGCCACACAGACAAGCACTGACCACATCATATGCCACACAGACAAGCACTGACCACATCATATGCCACACAGACAAGCACTGACCACATCATATGCCACACAGACAAGACAAGCACTGACCACATCATATGCCACACAGACAAGCACTGACCACATCATATGCCACACAGACAAGACAAGCACTGACCACATCATATGCCACACAGACAAGCACTGACCACATCATATGCCACACAGACAAGCACTGACCACATCATGTGCCACACAGACAAGACAAGCACTGACCACATCATATGCCACACAGACAAGACAAGCACTGACCACATCATATGCCACACAGACAAGCACTGACCACATCATGTGCCACACAGACAAGACAAGCACTGACCACATCATATGCCACACAGACAAGCACTGACCACATCATGTGCCACACAGACAAGACAAGCACTGACCACATCATATGCCACACAGACAAGCACTGACCACATCATGTGCCACACAGACAAGACAAGCACTGACCACATCATATGCCACACAGACAAGCACTGACCACATCATATGCCACACAGACAAGCACTGACCACAGCATATGCCACACAGACAAGCACTGACCACATCATGTGCCACACAGACAAGCACTGACCACATCATATGCCACACAGACAAGCACTGACCACAGCATATGCCACACAGACAAGCACTGACCACATCATATGCCACACAGACAAGCACTGACCACATCATATGCCACACAGACAAGCACTGACCACATAATATGCCACACAGACAAGCACTGACTACATCATATGCCACACAGACAAGACAAGCACTGACCACATCATATGCCACACAGTCAAGCACTGACCACATCATGTGCCACACAGACAAGACAAGCACTGACCACATCATATGCCACACAGACAAGCACTGACCACATCATGTGCCACACAGACAAGACAAGCACTGACCACATCATATGCCACACAGACAAGACAAGCACTGACCACATCATATGCCACACAGACAAGCACTGACCACATCATATGCCACACAGACAAGCACTGACCACATCATATGCCACACAGACAAGACAAGCACTGACCACATCATGTGCCACACAGACAAGACAAGCACTGACCACATCATATGCCACACAGACAAGACAAGCACTGACCACATCATATGCCACACAGACAAGACAAGCACTGACCACATCATATGCCACACAGACAAGCACTGACCACATCATATGCCACACAGACAAGCACTGACCACATCATATGCCACACAGACAAGCACTGACCACATCATATGCCACACAGACAAGCACTGACCACATCATATGCCACACAGACAAGCACTGACCACATCATATGCCACACAGACAAGCACTGACCACATCATATGCCACACAGACAAGCACTGACCACATCATATGCCACACAGACAAGACAAGCACTGACCACATCATATGCCACACAGACAAGCACTGACCACATCATATGCCACACAGACAAGCACTGACCACATCATATGCCACACAGACAAGCACTGACCACATCATATGCCACACAGACAAGCACTGACCACATCATATGCCACACAGACAAGCACTGACCACATCATATGCCACACAGACAAGCACTGACCACATCATATGCAACACAGACAAGCACTGACCACATCATATGCCACACAGACAAGCACTGACCACATCATATGCCACACAGACAAGCACTGACCACATCATATGACACACAGACAAGCACTGACCACATCATATGCCACACAGACAAGCACTGACCACATCATATCCCATAGTTTCTCCACTAAAGGTTCTATGTTGAGGGCAGATCTTTCCGAGCGCCTGAATGGTGGATTCTGGGTCAGGCATGTCACTGTATGGTGCCTACAAGATTTTTATTTTTATTTTATTCATCCATTGACAAGTAGCTCCATCTAAGTCTGTCCTGTGTGTGTCTACTGTGTATGTGTTTAGTGTGTCTACTGTGTATGTGTTTAGTAAGTCCACTGTGTCTGTGTTTAGTGTGTCCACTGTGTTTAATGTGTCCAGTGTGTCTATGTTTAGTGTGTCCACTGTGTCTGAGTTTAGTGTGTCCACTGTGTCTGAGTTTAGTGTGTCCACTGTGTCTGTGTTTAGTGTGTCCACTGTGTCTGTGTTTAGTGTGTCCACTGTGTCTATGTTTAGTGTGTCCACTGTGTCTGAGTTTAGTGTGTCCACTGTGTCTGAGTTTAGTGTGTCCACTGTGTTTGTGTTTAGTGTGTCCACTGTGTCTGTGTTTAGTGTGTCCACTGTGTCTGAGTTTAGTGTGTCCACTGTGTCTGAGTTTAGTGTGTCCACTGTGTCTGAGTTTAGTGTGTCCACTGTGTCTGAGTTTAGTGTGTCCACTGTGTCTGTGTTTAGTGTGTCCACTGTGTCTATGTATAGTGTGTCCATTGTGTCTGTGTTTAGTGTGTCTACTGTGTCTATGTTTAGTGTGTCCAGTGTGTCTATGTTTAGTGTGTCCACTGTGTTTGTGTTTAGTGTGTCCACTGTGTTTGTGTTTAGTGTGTCTATGTATAGTGTGTCCACTGTGTCTGTGTTTAGTGTGTCTACTGTGTCTATGTTTAGTGTGTCCAGTGTGTCTATGTTTAGTGTGTCCACTGTGTCTATGCTTAGTGTGTCCACTGTGCCTATGTTTAGTGTGTCCACTGTGCCTATGTTTAGTGTGTCCACTGTGTCTGAGTTTAGTGTGTCCACTGTGTCTATGTTTAGTGTGTCCACTGTGTCTATGTTTAGTGTGTCCACTGTGTCTATGTTTAGTGTGTCCACTGTGTTTGTGTTTAGTGTGTCCACTGTGTCTGTGTTTAGTGTGTCCATGTTTAGTGTGTCCACTATGTCTATGTTTAGTGTGTCCACTGTGTCTATGTTTAGTGTGTCCACTATGTGTGTGTTTAGTGTGTCCACTGTGTTTAGTGTGTCCACTGTGTCTGTGTTTAGTGTGTCCACTGTGTCCACACTTAGTGTGTCCACTGTGTCCACGCTTAGTGTGTCCACTGTGTTTAGTGTGTCCACTGTGTCTGAGTTTAGTGTGTCCACTGTGTTTAGTGTGTCCACTGTGTCTGAGTTTAGTGTGTCCACTGTGTTTAGTGTGTCCACTGTGTCTATGTTTAGTGTGTCCACTGTGTCTGAGTTTAGTGTGTCCACTGTGTCTGAGTTTAGTGTGTCCACTGTGTCTGAGTTTAGTGTGTCCACTGTGTCTGTGTTTAGTGTGTCCACTGTGTCTATGTATAGTGTGTCCACTGTGTCTGTGTTTAGTGTGTCTACTGTGTCTATGTTTAGTGTGTCCAGTGTGTCTATGTTTAGTGTGTCCACTGTGTCTATGTTTAGTGTGTCCACTGTGTTTGTGTTTAGTGTGTCCACTGTGTTTGTGTTTAGTGTGTCCACTGTGTTTGTGTTTAGTGTGTCCATGTTTAATGTGTCCACTGTGTCTATGCTTAGTGTGTCCACTGTGCCTATGTTTAGTGTGTCCACTGTGTCTATGTTTAGTGTGTCCACTGTGTCTGAGTTTAGTGTGTCCACTGTGTTTAGTGTGTCCACTGTGTCTATGTTTAGTGTGCCCACTGTGTCTGTGTTTAGTGTGTCCACTGTGTCTGAGTTTAGTGTGTCCACTGTGTCTATGTTTAGTGTGTCCACTGTGTCTGAGTTTAGTGTGTCCACTGTGTTTAGTGTGTCCACTGTGTCTGTGTTTAGTGTGTCCACTGTGTCTGAGTTTAGTGTGTCCACTGTGTCTGTGTTTAGTGTGTCCACTGTGTCTGAGTTTAGTATGTCCACTGTGTCTATGTTTAGTGTGTCCACTGTGTCTGAGTTTAGTGTGTTCACTGTGTTTAGTGTGTCCACTGTGTCAGATTTTAGTGTGTCCACTGTGTCTATGTTTAGTGTGTCCACTGTGTCTGAGTTTAGTGTGTCCACTGTGTTTAGTGTGTCCACTGTGTTTGTGTTAAGTGCGTCCACTGTGTCTATGTTTAGTGTGTCCACTGTGTCTGAGTTTAGTGTGTCCACTGTGTCTGTGTTTAGTGTGTCCACTGTGTTTAGTGTGTCCACTGTGTCTGTGTTTAGTGTGTCCACTGTGTCTATGTATAGTGTGTCCACTGTGTCTGTGTTTAGTGTGTCCACTGTGTCTGTTTAGTGTGTCCACTGTGTTTAGTGTGTCCACTGTGTCTGTGTTTAGTGTGTCAACTGTGTCTGAGTTTAGTGTGTCCACTGTGTCTGTGTTTAGTGTGTCCACTGTGTCTATGTATAGTGTGTCCACTGTGTCTGTGTTTAGTGTGTCTACTGTGTCTATGTTTAGTGTGTCCAGTGTGTCTATGTTTAGTGTGTCCACTGTGTCTATGCTAAGTGTGTCCACTGTGCCTATGTTTAGTGTGTCCACTGTGCCTATGTTTAGTGTGTCCACTGTGTCTGAGTTTAGTGTGTCCACTGTGTCTATGTTAAGTGTGTCCACTGTGTCTATGTTTAGTGTGTCCACTGTGTCTATGTTTAGTGTGTCCACTGTGTTTGTGTTTAGTGTGTCCACTGTGTCTGTGTTTAGTGTGTCCATGTTTAGTGTGTCCACTATGTCTATGTTTAGTGTGTCCACTGTGTCTATGTTTAGTGTGTCCACTATGTCTGTGTTTAGTGTGTCCACTGTGTTTAGTGTGTCCACTGTGTCTGTGTTTAGTGTGTCCACTGTGTCCACACTTAGTGTGTCCACTGTGTCCACGCTTAGTGTGTCCACTGTGTTTAGTGTGTCCACTGTGTCTGTGTTTAGTGTGTCCACTGTGTCTATGTTTAGTGTGTCCACTGTGTCTGAGTTTAGTGTGTCCACTGTGTTTAGTGTGTCCACTGTGTTTAGTGTGTCCACTGTGTCTGTGTTTAGTGTGTCCACTGTGTCTGTGTTTAGTGTGTCCACTGTGTCTGTGTTTAGTGTGTCCACTGTGTTTGTGTTTAGTGTGTCCACTGTGTCTAGTGTGTCCACTGTGTCTGTGTTTAGTGTGTCCACTGTGTCCACTGTGTCTAGTGTGTCCAGCTTACCTGAGGTATGGATCTTTTTCATTCAAAATAAAATCCAAGACCCACCTGAGGTGGTCACCAGTCAGATCCCCTACAACAAACAAACCACGGGTTAACAAATGAGTACATCAGTCAGGTACTCAGTACATCAGTCAGGTACTCAGTACATCAGTCAGGTACTCAGTACATCAGTCAGGTACTCAGTACATCAGTCAGGTACTCAGTACATCAGTCAGGTACTCAGTACATCAGTCAGGTACTCAGTACATCATTCAGGTACTCAGTACATCAGTCAGGTACTCAGTACATCAGTCAGGTACTCAGAACTTGGGTCAGGTACACAAAATTGGAGTGTTAAACCTCTGCTAAAAAGCAAGATCTACAAACATGTTCTAAAAACAAGATCTACAAACGTGGGCTACAAACATGTTCTAAAAACATGGGCTACAAACATGTTGTAAAAACAAGTCTACAAACATGTTCTAAAAACAAGATCAATAAACATGGGCTACAAACATGATATAAAAACAAGTCTACAAACGTGGCTACAAACCTCGTATAAAATCTACCAGACATGTGATGGCTGCCACCCTGACATCACGGAATATTCCGGGCTGGGCATAATCTTTGAAAACATCTGAGTCTATTGGCAGGTGACCCAGCTTCTGAAGGGTCCTGATAGTGTACAGGCAGCTGTGGGTGGGGGGGGGGGGGGAGTGTTATGATAGTGTACAGGGAGTGGGTTAAAAGAAAGTGTACTCTAACTGGTGCTGACAGATGGGAGTGATTGACTTACCTGACAGATGGGAGTGATTGACTTACCTGACAGATGGGAGTGATTGACTTACCTGACAGATGGGAGTGATTGACTTACCTGACAGACGGGAGTGATTGACTTACCTGACAGACGGGAGTGATTGACTTACCTGACAGACGGGAGTGATTGACTTACCTGACAGATGGGAGTGATTGACTTACCTGACAGATGGGAGTGATTGACTTACCTGACAGACGGGAGTGATTGACTTACCTGACAAATGGGAGTGATTGACTTACCTGACAAATGGGAGTGATTGACTTACCTGACAGATGGGAGTGATTGACTTACCTGACAGATGGGAGTGATTGACTTACCTGACAGATGGGAGTGATTGACTTACCTGACAGACGGGAGTGATAGACTTACCTGACAGACGGGAGTGATTGACTTACCTGACAGATGGGAGTGATTGACTTACCTGACAGTGACCGTGTATCTGTAGCAGGGCATGAGTTTCTCTAGATTTAAGCACCGCACCACCTCCTCCAGGACTTGCTTGGTTTCTGTTGACAATGTGTCTGATGTCACAACTTGCCTGTCAGTGACAAGAGCAATGTGTCAGGTCAGAAACTTAGCCATTAGTTGAGGTGACACTTAGGTTGTTGGTTGGGGTGACACTTAGGTCATTGGTTGGGGTGACACTTAAATCATTGGTTGGGGTGACACTTAGGTCATTGGTTGGGGTGACACTTAGGTCATTGGTTGGGGTGACACTTAGGTCATTGGTTGGGGTGACACTTAGGTCATTGGTTGGGGTGACACTAAAAGACTGAAGCTGACCCTGTGATGAGTGAGACATTGGTGACAGCAGGTGTGATGCTTGCAGACAGAGCTTCCACTAGGGCGGCACGGTAATAGTTGTCAGACCACTGGAAATAAAATTTTAAAATAGTTGTCAGACCACTGGAAATAAAAATTTTAAAATAGTTGTCAGACCACTGGAAATAAAATTTTAAAATAGTTGTCAGACCACTGGAAATAAAATTTTAAAATAGTTGTCAGACCACTGGAAATAAAATTTTAAAATAGTTGTCAGACCACTGGAAATAAAATTTTAAAATAGTTGTCAGACCACTGGAAATAACATTTTAAAATAGTTGTCAGACCACTGGAAATAACATTTTAAAATAGTTGTCAGACCACTGGAAATAAAATTTTAAAATAGTTGTCAGACCACTGGAAATAACATTTTAAAATAGTTGTCAGACCACTGGAAATAAAATTTTAAAATAGTTGTCAGACCACTGGAAATAAAATTTTAAAATAGTTGTCAGACCACTGGAAATAAAATTTTAAAATAGTTGTCAGACCACTGGAAATAAAATTTTAAAATAGTTGTCAGACCACTGGAAATAAAATTTTAAAATAGTTGTCAGACCACTGGAAATAAAATTTTAAAATAGTTGTCAGACCACTGGAAATAAAATTTTAAAATAGTTGTCAGACCACTGGAAATAAAATTTTAAAATAGTTGTCAGACCACTGGAAATAAAATTTTAAAATAGTTGTCAGACCACTGGAAATAACATTTTAAAATAGTTGTCAGACCACTGGAAATAAAATTTTAAAATAGTTGTCAGACCACTGGAAATAAAATTTTAAAATAGTTGTCAGACCACTGGAAATAAAATTTTAAAATAGTTGTCAGACCACTGGAAATAAAATTTTAAAATAGTTGTCAGACCACTGGAAATAAAAATTTTAAATAGTTGTCAGACCACTGGAAATAAAATTTTAAAATAGTTGTCAGACCACTGGAACCACATTTTAAAATAATTGTCAGACCACCGGAAATAAAATTTTAAAATAGTTGTTAGACCACTGGAAATAAAATTTTAAAATAGTTGTCAGACCACTGGAAATAAAATTTTAAAATAGTTGTCAGACCACTGGAAATAAAATTTTAAAATAGTTGTCAGACCACTGGAAATAAAATTTTAAAATAGTTGTCAGACCACTGGAAATAAAATTTTAAAATAGTTGTCAGACCACTGGAAATAAAATTTTAAAATAGTTGTCAGACCACTGGAAATAAAATTTTAAAATAGTTGTCAGACCACTGGAAATAAAATTTTAAAATAGTTGTCAGACCACTGGAAATAACATTTTAAAATAGTTGTCAGACCACTGGAAATAAAATTTTAAAATAGTTGTCAGACCACTGGAAATAAAATTTTAAAATAGTTGTCAGACCACTGGAAATAAAATTTTAAAATAGTTGTCAGACCACTGGAAATAAAATTTTAAAATAGTTGTCAGACCACTGGAAATAAAAATTTTAAATAGTTGTCAGACCACTGGAAATAAAATTTTAAAATAGTTGTCAGACCACTGGAACCACATTTTAAAATAATTGTCAGACCACCGGAAATAAAATTTTAAAATAGTTGTTAGACCACTGGAAATAAAATTTTAAAATAGTTGTCAGACCACTGGAAATAAAATTTTAAAATAGTTGTCAGACCACTGGAAATAAAATTTTAAAATAGTTGTCAGACCACTGGAAATAAAATTTTAAAATAGTTGTCAGACCACTGGAAATAAAATTTTAAAATAGTTGTCAGACCACTGGAAATAAAATTTTAAAATAGTTGTCAGACCACTGGAAATAAAATTTTAAAATAGTTGTCAGACCACTGGAAATAAAATTTTAAAATAGTTGTCAGACCACTGGAAATAAAATTTTAAAATAGTTGTCAGACCACTGGAAATAAAATTTTAAAATAGTTGTTAGACCACTGGAAATAAAATTTTAAAATAGTTGTCAGACCACTGGAAATAAAATTTTAAAATAGTTGTCAGACCACTGGAAATAAAATTTTAAAATAGTTGTCAGACCACTGGAAATAAAATTTTAAAATAGTTGTCAGACCACTGGAAATAAAATTTTAAAATAGTTGTCAGACCACTGGAAATAAAATTTTAAAATAGTTGTCAGACCACTAGAAATAAAATTTTAAAATAGTTGTCAGACCACTGGAAATAAAATTTTAAAATAGTTGTCAGACCACTGGAAATAAAATTTTAAAATAGTTGTCAGACCACTGGAAATAAAAATTTTAAAATAGTTGTCAGACCACTGGAAATTAAATTTTAAAATAGTTGTCAGACCACTGGAAATAAAATTTTAAAATAGTTGTCAGACCACTGGAAATAAAATTTTAAAATAGTTGTCAGACCACTGGAAATAAAAATTTTAAATAGTTGTCAGACCACTGGAAATAAAAATTTTAAATAGTTGTCAGACCACTGGAAATAAAATTTTAAAATAGTTGTCAGACCACTGGAAATAAAATTTTAAAATAGTTGTCAGACCACTGGAAATAAAAATTTAAAATAGTTGTCAGACCACTGGAAATAAAATTTTAAAATAGTTGTCAGACCACTGGAAATGGAAATAAAATTTTAAAATAGTTGTCAGACCACTGGAAATAAAATTTTAAAATAGTTGTCAGACCACTGGAAATAAAATTTTAAAATAGTTGTCAGACCACTGGAAATAAAAATTTTAAATAGTTGTCAGACCACTGGAAATAACATTTTAAAATAGTTGTCAGACCACTGGAAATAAAAATTTTAAATAGTTGTCAGACCACTGGAAATAACATTTTAAAATAGTTGTCAGACCACTGGAAATAACATTTTAAAATAGTTGTCAGACCACTGAAAATTAAATTTTAAAATAGTTGTCAGACCACTGAAAATAAAATTTTAAAATAGTTGTTAGACCACTGGAAATAAAATTTTAAAATAGTTGTCAGACCACTAGAAATAAAATTTTAAAATAGTTGTCAGACCACTGGAAATAAAATTTTAAAATAGTTGTCAGACCACTGGAAATAAAATTTTAAAATAGTTGTCAGACCACTGGAAATAAAATTTTAAAATAGTTGTCAGACCACTGGAAATAAAATTTTAAAATAGTTGTCAGACCACTGGAAATAAAATTTTAAAATAGTTGTCAGACCACTGGAAATAAAATTTTTAAATAGTTGTCAGACCACTGGAAATAAAATTTTAAAATAGTTGTCAGACCACTAGAAATAAAATTTTAAAATAGTTGTCAGACCACCGGAAATAAAAATTTTAAATAGTTGTCAGACCACCGGAAATAAAATTTTTAAATAGTTGTCAGACCACTGGAAATAAAATTTTAAAATAGTTGTCAGACCACTAGAAATAAAATTTTAAAATAGTTGTCAGACCACTGGAAATAAAATTTTAAAATAGTTGTTAGACCACTGGAAATAAAATTTTAAAATAGTTGTCAGACCACTAGAAATAAAATTTTAAAATAGTTGTCAGACCACTGGAAATAAAATTTTAAAATAGTTGTCAGACCACTGGAAATAAAATTTTAAAATAGTTGTCAGACCACTGGAAATAAAATTTTAAAATAGTTGTCAGACCACTGGAAATAAAATTTTAAAATAGTTGTCAGACCACTGGAAATAAAATTTTTAAATAGTTGTCAGACCACTGGAAATAAAATTTTAAAATAGTTGTCAGACCACTAGAAATAAAATTTTAAAATAGTTGTCAGACCACCGGAAATAAAATTTTAAAATAGTTGTCAGACCACCGGAAATAAAATTTTAAAATAGTTGTCAGACCACTAGAAATAAAATTTTAAAATAGTTGTCAGACCACCGGAAATAAAATTTTTAAATAGTTGTCAGACCACTGGAAATAAAATTTTAAAATAGTTGTCAGACCACTGGAAATAAAATTTTAAAATAGTTGTTAGACCACTGGAAATAAAATTTTAAAATAGTTGTCAGACCACTGGAAATAAAATTTTAAAATAGTTGTCAGACCACTGGAAATGGAAATAAAATTTTAAAATAGTTGTCAGACCACTAGAAATAAAATTTTAAAATAGTTGTCAGACCACTGGAAATAAAATTTTAAAATAGTTGTCAGACCACTGGAAATAAAATTTTAAAATAGTTGTCAGACCACTGGAAATAAAATTTTAAAATAGTTGTCAGACCACTAGAAATAAAATTTTAAAATAGTTGTTAGACCACAGGAAATAAAATTTTAAAATAGTTGTCAGACCAGTGAGATACATTTTACCAAGGTGAGATAGTAAGATACACTTTACCAAGGTGAGATAGTGAGATACATTTTACCAAAGTGGGATAGTGAGATCAATTTTACCAATGAGGGATAGTGAGATAAACTTTACCTTGTTTCTAGAGTTGTCATTGTATTTGAAAAGGTCCAGTAGGAACTTGGTGATCTCAGCCAGACACAAGTTGTGTGTGTCTCTCAGTCTAGCCATGGCCTGGGGCATGGTCTGAAATATAACAAGTCATGGTCTGAAATATAACAAGTCATGATCTGAAATATAACAAGTCATGATCTGGGGCATGGTCTGAAATATAACAAGTCATGATCTGAAATATAACAAGTCATGATCTGAAATATAACAAGTCATGATCTGGGGCATGGTCTGAAATATAACAAGTCATGGTCTGAAATATAACAAGTCATGATCTGAAATATAACAAGTCATGATCTGGGGCATGGTCTGAAATATAATACAGGAACTCATGATCTAGGGCATTGTCATGATATTGGGCAATGAAAGGACCTTACCTTTAGCAAATAATAATGTTGAAAGTTGGAGAAATTGTTCTGTCGGACAATGAAAGGACAAGAATGAGACCCAAACATCTTGCGGAAGATTGCAATCATTGCAGGTGGGCCAGTCCATGTTCCGATCATCAAATTAGCAATCTGAGAGAAACAGCAGTTGTTGGATGATGTACCAACAGCTAAATGTTACTTGTTGGATGATGTACCAACAGCTAAATGTTACTTGTTGGATGACTTATGAAAAGGTTCTATGCCCCCTCCCCTTCAAAGTTTTTATGTTATATTATAAAAGTATGCTCTAAGTTTTGTTATAATAACAAAAGTATACCCCAATGTTTTGTTATAATAACAAAAGTATGCCCCAATGTTTTGTTATAATAACAAAAGTATGCCCCAATGTTTTGTTATAATAACAAAAGTATGCCCCAATGTTTTGTTATAATAACAAAAGTATGTTTACAAATGTTTACAATATATCACTATCCACCACACACCTCAGTGCCTGATGATAGACCTAGTTGCCCCCCCCCCCCCCGGTGTGATGAGATAGGCATAACCTCCTTTTCCCATTGTCTGACAAGATAGGTCTATTCCCCCCCCCCCCCTTCTGACAAATGAGGCCTAACCTCCCACCCCAATTGCTTGATGGGATAGGCCTAAACCCTAGATCATTTCCAGATAGTGACCTTTGCTAGGCAGTAGCAGGCATCTTGTCTGACCCTGTAGTAGCACTCCTCGTTCTCTATGGTGTCTGTCAGGGCAGCCCTTGAAGCTGGTGTTGGGAACTTGCCTAAAGCATCAATTGCCTGCTCAAACAAAGACAGCTGGATTATACATTAATAGGACAGCAATTAAAAGCAACAACAATACATCCCTAAACTCACCTCAAATTGTGCCACAATACATCCCTAAACTCACCTCAAATTGTGCCACAATACATCCCTAAACTCACCTCAAATTGTGCCACAATACATCCCTAAACTCACCTCAAATTGTGCCACAATACATCCCTAAACTCACCTCAAATTGTGCCACAATACATCCCTAAACTCACCTCAAATTGTGCCACAATACATCCCTAAACTCACCTCAAATTGTGCCACAATACATCCCTAAACTCACCTCAAATTGTGCCACAATACATCCCTAAACTCACCTCAAATTGTGCCACAATACATCCCTAACTCACCTCAAATTGTGCCACAATACATCTCTCAAACCTAAGCTGATACTGCCACATGTAGTCTGGCTGCTCAAAGTTGACTGTCCTCAACAGGTGCATGTCTGGGTCCAAGCGCAGCCACAGAACAGGAGAGTCAGCACTGGAATGAGTCAGGACAATGGAGTCAGAGCAGGGGAGTCATCAAGTTTAGAAACATTATGCCTAACCTGAGCTGCAACAACTTTTCATGTCAAATGTGTCAAAGTTGTCAGACAGTGACACAACATTCTAGAATCTACAACAAACACTGACATAAAAAAAAGTCAATTACCTCTTGGGCTTGTAAAAAAGGTATAAATAATATATTCATAAATCTTCTCCTGTCTTCTACCTAGTCTGTCAATACTTTGTTCCTAAAACCTCTATACAACAACACCCCAGTCTTCTATCTTTTCTTTTGTTCTCTTCATCCATGTGGATAACTCACTCCCCCTCCCTCCTTATTCCCCCCACCCTCCTGTGCATAACTCACTCCCCCTCCCTCCTTATTCCCCCTCCCCTCCTGTGCATAACTCACTCCCCCCACCCTCCTGTGGATGGTTACTCACTCCCCCCCACCCTCCTGTGCATAACTCACTCCCCCTCCCTCCTTATTCCCCCCACCCTCCTGTGCATAACTCACTCCCCCTCCCTCCTTATTCCCCCTACCCTCCTGTGCATAACTCACTCCCCCCACCCTCCTGTGGATGGTAACTCACTCCCCCCCCCCACCCTCCTGTGGATGGTAACTCACTCCCCCCCCCACCCTCCTGTGGATGGTTACTCACTCCCCCCCCCCACCCTCCTGTGGATGGTTACTCACTCCATGGCTGATAAATCCATGTCCACCTCCTCCCCAGTCATCAATGGAATCTTTTTTCTCTTGTTCCTTGAATGGAACAAATCATAGGAAAAATAAGACTGGTTATAAATGTGTATGTGCGGTTATAAATGTGTATGTGCGGTTATAAATGTGTATGTGCGGTTATAAATGTGTATGTGCGGTTATAAATGTGTATGTGCGGTTATAAATGTGTATGAGCAGTTATAAATGTGCATGTGTGGTTATAAACATGCACAAGTGGTTACACTTATATGCGTGTTTACTTATGTTTATGCATGTTTAAATATGTTGCTTCCCTAGAACCAGGCTGTCTAATCTATTATTTTTAGTTTTCATAACGTACTTTGAAATCTTGTTTTGAAACATTTTAAAATTTTTTACTCAAAGTTTCTATGTGGACCGAGCCTACTATGTTCACTTAGTTTTGAAACATTTTAAATTTTTTTACTCAAAGTTTCTATGTGGACCGAGCCTACTATGTTCACTTAGAGTAGGATGCTCGCTAAAGAAGATTTCATGCAATCTTTGTACTAACAAAATAAACCGGGAGTGATCTCCCCAAAACTTTCTCGAATATTCTTATATAACACTACAGGGGATGTCAACGCGGGATATAGACATGATTTTTAATCCATGTTTAATTACTTAAACTTTTAAAAATAGAATCTCATAGAAAAAAATAATTGTGCACCAAGTGAATGACAAACAATTTGTGTATAATGAGTAGTTTAAAAAGTCATCTGCGTTTTTTTTTTTTTTTTGAGAAATCGAAAATAGCGTAAATAGCGTAATGGAAATAACTCAAAATTTGTCAGAATTTTGTCTATCTTTAACAGTACTCAAATTATAGGCTTTTGAAAAATCAAAAGTAGAATAAGTTCCACTTCAGGTTATCGGAAATTGCTCAAAAGTTGAAACAGAACTGCAAATTTGATGTCATACTTATATATGAAATTTCATCAAGCTAGCTGTAAAGTTGCGCAAGTTATTATGTTCACAGACACACATAATTGTAAAGCCCAGCTTTTCCGACTCAATTACGCATAATATGCAGAAATTTTTATAAACCTGCATTTATAATTTTTGCCTGATTAAAATAATAAGTCCCCTATACTCCGTATATGATGGGACGGAGTGGTCTAACGGTAGAGAGCTGGACTGCTAACCCGTAAGTCTCGAGTTCGAATCCGGGTTCAAGTCAGTAGACCGTCCCTGAGTCCACCCAACTCTGATGGGTACCTAACTCACGTTAGGGAAAGTAAAGGCGGCTGGGCATAGTGCTGACCACACTATCTTTTCATATGCCGAAGTCACAGAAACAAGTGAACTCTACTTGACTTGCCCCATAGACCGTCAGGTTTGAAAGGGAAACATTTTTTTATGGTGAAGATAAAGGTACAATCATTTTATTTACCATGAAACGTGGATGGATTAGGATCACTAAAACAAGTGAAAAATTGAGTTAAAAATCTGGTTCTGGGAAAGTGAAGAGTATGAGTGTTAAAATGTGAATGAGTAGTTTGTAATGGCTCATAAACATTTCTACAAAGCTGGTGTAAATGTAGGAGGCTGGCCTTAAATAACATTATATGTACATTCTAATAATGATGCTAAAACTGTGGACTACTGAAGGTAGGTGGATAAGATGGGGGTGAGAGGTAAAACCAACATAGCCTGCAGCATATGTGCATTCATCAAAGGACATTTGATGAGAGGTAAAACCAACATAGCCTGCAGCATATGTGCATTCATCAAAGGACATTTGATGAGAGGTAAAACCAACATAGCCTGCAGCATATGTGCATTCATCAAAGGACATTTGACAGACTTGGCTCTAGTTGGCCTGCATCTACTTACATTATACTTACTAACTACTTATAATCTACTTACATTCTATTTACTAGCTACTTACAACCTACTATTATTCTATTTACTACCTAGTTACATTCTATTTACTACCTACTTACCTTCTACTTTTGGAGTGACAAGTGATCTCAAACTTTGTTTTATTTTCTTCTATTTTAAACTGGTGATTAAATGATCCATCTAGCTCTTGAATTGTCACATTTAATGTTCCCTGAAAAAATTGTTGTTATTAACATTTAATGTACCTTGAAAATTGTTATAAAACTCAACCTAACCATAACCATATATATATAATCTATATAACCATACATTTACCTTTAAAATACTAAACATTTGATATAACCATACATTTACCTTTAAAATACTAAACATTTGATATAACCATACATTTACCTTTAAAATACTAAACATTTGATATAACCATACATTTACCTTTAAAATACTAAACATTTGATATAACCATACATTTACTGATATTAAACTAATCAAGCCTTAAAGTTTATTCCATCAATCAAATCATTCATTAGTTTTAAAAAAGGGGAGGGGGAGGGCATGAAATTTTTTTCTCGACAATTTGACTGAGTTTTCAGGTTTTTCAAACTTCCTTCTTCTTCTGCTTAGTTCTTAATTTTACTGTTGGAAGTGATTTCCTCCAACACCATAAAGCATACGTGTCAACTGGTTATGCATACGTGTCAACTGGTTATGCATACGTGTCAACTGGTTATGCACCATTCAGACCATTGGCTCTGATTTCTTTTTGTATTTGCTGCCATAGACTCTGTCCAACCAAGAACAAACTACAAGGCAGCAGTTGTTTGATTTGCTGCCATAGACTCTGTCCAACCAAGAACAAACTACAAGGCAGCAGTTGTTTGATTTGCTTCCATAGCCTCTGTCCAACCAAGAACAAACTACAAGGCAGCAGTTGTTTGATTTGCTTCCATAGCCTCTGTCCAACCAAGAACAAACTACAAGGCAGCAGTTGTTTGATTTGCTGCCATAGCATTTGTCTAACCAAGAACAAACTACAAGGCAGCAGTTGTTTGATTTGCTGCCATAGCCTTTGTCCAACCAAGAACAAACTACAAGGCAACAGTTCTTGGATTTTGGAGTTGTCTCTCCAAGAAAATCCTCATCGGCCCGAGGGTTTGAACTCAAGACTTATTAATATAGCAACCATGAGCTTTAGCGACTGGACCACACCGACTAAAACATTTCAAGGACATTTTAAAATTGGTCAAGGACACACCATAGACCTGAGCATCTGCATGATGACAGGTGGGTGGGGTCAGGTCAAGTTAGAGAGGACTAAAAGAACTATAAAGAGAACTGCAAATGTCTGTTTGATACATACATTGATAGTCCTTCAAAGAAACTGGCAGTTATTTCATTTGTGACTAAACAGAAACAGTTCCAAAAATAAGTTTTCCAACTTGACTCAGTTCAAGTTAAAAGTATCTCTTGGGGAGACAGTTTTCAAATGGCCTAATGGATTTGTGTCAGAGCTTGCTTACCACATATTTTAAAGCTCCTGGCGCATTTAAATCCTGTCTAATGTCAAGCTCCACCACATTTCTCTTTCTGTTGAAAACAAAATTCCCCGTGAATCTGGCACATCCCCCTTGGTATCTGGGACACTGAGTTAAGGCATCATTACAAGTCTCACCAGTACAAGGTCATTACATTTAGTACTGTTCATTACATACAGCATCTGTCATTACATTTAGTATTGGTCATTACATACAGCATAAGTCATTACATTTAGTACTGGTCATTACATACAGCATCTGTCATTACATACACTATCTGTCATTACATTTAGTATTGGTCATTACATACAGCAGATGTCATTACATTTAGTATTGGTCATTACATACAGCCCATGCCAATATATACAGCATCTGCCATTAGATATATCATGACATATATATACTACATGAGACTAAAGGATACACCCAGATGTCAATGAAAGGCTCAATGTCCTTGCCGGTTACAGTGAAGATAATCTTTAAAAACTAAAAAAAAAAAGTTTGTGTAACACATTTTGTTAGATAAACTGCTATTAGATAACAAAACATTTTCCAGCCAACTGAAAAACATGTTACAGTTAGCTCATTAAAAATTTTCTTATGAATTAACGTAAATATCTTGTCTATTGTTGTAAGATATTTGTAAAGTAGTGAGCAAGCAACAGACAGCTGATGTGACAGATGATGTACTGACAGATGATGTACTGACAGATGATGTACTGACAGATGATGTACTGACAGATGATGTACTGACAGATGATGTACTGACAGATGATGTACTGACAGATGATGTACTGACAGATGATGTACTGACAGATGATGTACTGACAGATAATGTACTGACAGATGATGTACTGACAGATGATGTACTGACAGATAATGTACTGACAGATGATGTACTGACAGATGATGTACTGAGAGATGATGTACTGATGGATGATGTGATGACAGATGATGTGACAGATGATATGACAGATGATGTACTGAAAGATGATGTACTGAGAGATGATGTACTGATGGATGATGTACTGACAGATGATGTGACAGATGATATGACAGATGATGTACTGAAAGATGATGTACTGAAAGATGATGTACTGAAAGATGATGTACTGAAAGATGATGTAATGAGAGATGATGTACTGATGGATGATGTGATGACAGATGATGTGACAGATGATGTACTAACCGATGAAGTAGATAGCAGCATGTTGGTCCAACTGGTCAACCCAAAAGTTTGTTGACTTGCATTGTAGGCCAGAGACAAAAGTTTGTTCAAAACCTGTAACAAAAGTTTTTATAAACTTGAGGTGTTACCTGTAACAAAAGTTTTTACAAGCTTGATGTAAGTGTTACCTGCACTAAACGTTTTTACAAGCTTGATGTGTTACCTGTAACAAATGTTTTTATAAGCTTGAGGTAAGTGTTACCTGTAATAAAAGTTTTTATAAACTTGAGATGTTACCTGTAACATAAGTTTTTACAAGCTTGAGGTAAGTGTTACCTGTAACAAAAGTTTTTATAAGCTTGATGTAAGTGTTACCTGTAACAAAAGCTTTTATAAACTTGATGTAAGTGTTACCTGTAACAAAAGTTTTTATAAGCTTGAGGTAAGTGTTACCTGTAATAAAAGTTTTTATAAACTTGAGATGTTACCTGTAACATAAGTTTTTACAAGCTTGAGGTAAGTGTTACATGTAACAAAAGTTTTTATAAGCTTGATGTAAGTGTTACCTGTAACAAAAGCTTTTATAAACTTGATGTAAGTGTTACCTGTAATAAAAGTTTTTATAAACTTGATGTAAGTGTTACCTGTAACAAAAGTTTTTATAAGCTTGAGGTAAGTGTTACCTGTAACAAAAGTTTTTATAAACTTGAGATGTTACCTGTAACATAAGTTTTTACAAGCTTGAGGTAAGTGTTACCTGTAACAAAAGTTTTTATAAGCTTGATGTAAGTGTTACCTGTAACAAAAGCTTTTATAAACTTGATGTAAGTGTTACCTGTAACAAAAGTTTTTATAAGCTTGAGGTAAGTGTTACCTGTAATAAAAGTTTTTATAAACTTGAGATGTTACCTGTAACAAAAGTTTTTATAAGCTTGAGGTAAGTGTTACCTGTAACAAAAGTTTTTATAAACTTGAGATGTTACCTGTAACAAAAGTTTTTATAAGCTTGAGGTAAGTGTTACCTGTAACAAAAGTTTTTACAAGCTTGAGGTAAGTGTTACCTGTAACAAAAGTTTTTATAAGCTTGATGTAAGTGTTACCTGTAACAAAAGCTTTTATAAACTTGAGATGTTACCTGTAACATAAGTTTTTACAAGCTTGAGGTAAGTGTTACCTGTAACAAAAGTTTTTATAAGCTTGATGTAAGTGTTACCTGTAACAAAAGCTTTTATAAACTTGATGTAAGTGTTACCTGTAACAAAAGTTTTTATAAGCTTGAGGTAAGTGTTACCTGTAATAAAAGTTTTTATAAACTTGAGATGTTACCTGTAACAAAAGTTTTTATAAGCTTGAGGTAAGTGTTACCTGTAACAAAAGTTTTTATAAACTTGAGATGTTACCTGTAACAAAAGTTTTTATAAGCTTGAGGTAAGTGTTACCTGTAACAAAAGTTTTTACAAGCTTGAGGTAAGTGTTACCTGTAACAAAAGTTTTTATAAGCTTGATGTAAGTGTTACCTGTAACAAAAGTTTTTATAAGCTTGAGGTAAGTGTTACCTGTAACAAAAGTTTTTATAAGCTTGGGGTAAGTGTTACCTGTAACAAAAGTTTTTATAAGCTTGAGGTAAGTGTTACCTGTAACAAAAGTTTTTATAAGCTTGATGTAAGTGTTACCTGTAACAAAAGTTTTTATAAGCTTGATGTAAGTGTTACCTGTAACAAAAGTTTTTATAAGCTTGAGGTAAGTGTTACCTGTAACAAAAGTTTTTATAAGCTTGGGGTAAGTGTTACCTGTAACAAAAGTTTTTATAAGCTTGGGGTAAGTGTTACCTGTAACAAAAGCTCCGTCCCAATTTTTATCTCCAACATTCTGACAACCAGCCTGGCTTTTTTACAGAAGATTTCACTGTAGCGGGGGGAGAGGGTGTGGGGTGAGTGTACAGAGAAAGGATGATTGCCATCACGCTTGGTAGGGTCCAGGATGACATAGCCTACATTCTGCTCATACTCACTGACTTCTAACAGATCCTGTTGACAAACATCATCAACATACATACAGTAAAACACCAGCAGCATCAACATACATACAGTAAAACACCAGCAGCATCAACATACAGTAAAACACCAGCAGCATCAACATACATACAGTCTCTTTCAGGCATCTCTTTGGGGGTGGGGAGGGGAGCATAAAATCTTTTCACCAGTGCCCCCCCCCCCATGGAGAAAATGTCTGAAAGAAACACTATATACTTACAGTATAAAAACCAACAGCATTGACATACATTCAACAGCAACCAACAACACTAAGAGCAAACAATGTTTGAACCTCTCAGACCAAGGACAGATGGAACGTACCATCCTAAATGTTTGAAGCAAGTACAGATGGTACATACCATCCTAAATGTTTGAACCTCTCAGACCAAGGACAGATGGTACGTACCATCCTAAATGTTTGAACCTCTCAGACCAAGGACAGATGGTACGTACCATCCTAAATGTTTGAACCTCTCAGACCAAGGACAGATGGTACGTACCATCCTAAATGTTTGAACCTCTCAGACCAAGGACAGATGGTACGTACCATCCTAAATGTTTGAACCTCTCAGACCAAGGACAGATGGTACATACCATCCTAAATGTTTGAACCTCTCAGACCAAGGACAGATGGTACGTACCATCCTAAATGTTTGAACCTCTCAGACCAAGGACAGATGGTACGTACCATCCTAAATGTTTGAACCTCTCAGACCAAGGACAGATGGTACGTACCATCCTAAATGTTTGAACCTCTCAGACCAAGGACAGATGGTACGTACCATCCTAAATGTTTGAACCTCTCAGACCAAGGACAGATGGTACGTACCATCCTAAATGTTTGAACCTCTCAGACCAAGGACAGATGGTACGTACCATCCTAAATGTTTGAACCTCTCAGACCAAGGACAGATGGTACGTACCATCCTAAATGTTTGAACCTCTCAGACCAAGGACAGATGGTACGTACCATCCTAAATGTTTGAACCTCTCAGACCAAGGACAGATGGTACGTACCATCCTAAATGTTTGAACCTCTCAGACCAAGGACAGATGGAACGTACCATCCTAAATGTTTGAACCTCTCAGACCAAGGACAGATGGTACGTACCATCCTAAATGTTTGAACCTCTCAGACCAAGGACAGATGGTACGTACCATCCTAAATGTTTGAAACAAGGGCAGATGGTACGTACCATCCTAAATGTTTGAACCTCTCAGACCAAGGACAGATGGTACATACCATCCTAAATGTTTGAACCTCTCAGACCAAGGACAGATGGTACGTACCATCCTAAATGTTTGAACCTCTCAGACCAAGGACAGATGGTACGTACCATCCTAAATGTTTGAACCTCTCAGACCAAGGACAGATGGTACGTACCATCCTAAATGTTTGAACCTCTCAGACCAAGGACAGATGGTACGTACCATCCTAAATGTTTGAACCTCTCAGACCAAGGACAGATGGTACGTACCATCCTAAATGTTTGAACCTCTCAGACCAAGGACAGATGGTACGTACCATCCTAAATGTTTGAACCTCTCAGACCAAGGACAGATGGTACGTACCATCCTAAATGTTTGAACCTCTCAGACCAAGGACAGATGGTACGTACCATCCTAAATGTTTGAACCTCTCAGACCAAGGACAGATGGTACGTACCATCCTAAATGTTTGAACCTCTCAGACCAAGGACAGATGGTACGTACCATCCTAAATGTTTGAACCTCTCAGACCAAGGACAGATGGTACGTACCATCCTAAATGTTTGAACCTCTCAGACCAAGGACAGATGGAACGTACCATCCTAAATGTTTGAAACAAGGGCACTTACCCTCATGACCCAGTTCCTGTACTCATTGTTGCCAAATGTCCTTTTACTAAAGAGGTAGGACAGGTATCCTGTGATACCTTTGGTCAGCCATGCGTCCGTCCATGACTCCATGGCAATAAAGCTCCCAAAGAACTGCTGGGCCACTGCTGTGGCCATCAGCTGTCTGGAGGCCATGGTCTGGTCAATGATGTTGGGGGGGTGGAGCAAATTGGTACTGAAACATCAAGAGTCAGTCATTTGTATCGGTTGAGTAAGTTATGGAACATCTAGGAACATTAGAAACAAGGCATGCTCAAAGAAGTTTACATAGGCCTAGAAAAAAAAATCAATGGTAGCCTTTGAGTATTCTAAGAACACTAACAATAACAAAGAAATGTATTCATCACACAAAACGCTAGCCTGCTCAAAATGACTTTCTATTGGATTCAAATAAAATTTGATACCAATCTGTTTCTCTATTTGTGATCATTACCAAGTCTGACTGTCAGATGAGAAAGTAGAAGCAAAATAAAAAAGGGCTGAGCCAATGTTAAGCTACATTAGCAGTGGATATTGCGGCATCAAGCCATGAGAAAATAGACGAACGCTGTAAAAAGACTTGGGAATCTTGATAATAGAAACAATTTCTACAATGCCAAAAGTTTCAAATTTTAATTGTCTTTTTTAAAACTGCAAACCAGAAAATTTTAAAATTCTTTTACCAAATCTGTAAAGTGAAAAAATGTTTTTCTTGAATCTAGAATTCTGGGACGAGCAGGTGAAGTGAGACTTATGTCATTAGTAATTATAAGAGCTAGAGTATCTTGCCATACCTTAGTATACTCATGGTAGAGTAGGTAGCAACCTCACAATAAGCTTGGTCAACAAAGACCTGTTTGTAGTATGAGTAAGGATAGCGGCTGGACATCAACTCCTCATAAAACTCAAATGCCTGGAGGGAAGTTTTGAGAAACTGATAACATTTCTACCACAAGAGACAATGGGAGGCACAACATCCCAGGAGCATTCAATCTTTGATTTCAAACATTTGCCATCCCATATCACAAGTTGACAACCCAGGAGCATTCAATCTTTGATTTCAAACATTTGCCATCCCATATCACAAGTTGACAACCCAGGAGCATTCAATCTTTGATTTCAAACATTTGCCATCCCATATCACAAGTTGACAAACCAGGGGCTTTCAATCTTTGATTTCAAACATTTGCCATCCCATATCACAAGTTGACAACCCAGGAGCATTCAATCTTTGATTTCAAACATTTTCCATCCCATATCACAAGTTGACAACCTAGGGGCTTTCAATCTTTGATTTCAAACATTTGCCATCCCATATCACAAGTTGACAACCCAGGAGCATTCAATCTTTGATTTCAAACATTTTCCATCCCATATCACAAGTTGACAACCCAGGAGCATTCAATCTTTGATTTCAAACATTTTCCATCCCATATCACAAGTTGACAACCCAGGAGCATTCAATCTTTGATTTCAAACATTTTCCATCCCATATCACAAGTTGACAACCCAGGAGCATTCAATCTTTGATTTCAAACATTTGCCATCCCTTATCACAAGTTGACAACCCAGGAGCATTCAATCTTTGATTTCAAACATTTGCCATCCCATATCACAAGTTGACAACCCAGGAGCATTCAATCTTTGATTTCAAACATTTTCCATCCCATATCACAAGTTGACAACCCAGGAGCATTCAATCTTTGATTTCAAACATTTTCCATCCCATATCACAAGTTGACAACCCAGGAGCATTCAATCTTTGATTTCAAACATTTTCCATCCCATATCACAAGTTGACAACCCAGGAGCATTCAATCTTTGATTTCAAACATTTGCCATCCCTTATCACAAGTTGACAACCCAGGAGCATTCAATCTTTGATTTCAAACATTTGCCATCCCATATCACAAGTTGACAACCCAGGAGCATTCAATCTTTGATTTCAAACATTTGCCATCCCATATCACAAGTTGACAACCCAGGAGCATTCAATCTTTGATTTCAAACATTTGCCATCCCATATCACAAGTTGACAACCCAGGAGCATTCAATCTTTGATTTCAAACATTTGCCATCCCATATCACAAGTTGACAACCCAGGAGCATTCAATCTTTGATTTCAAACATTTGCCATCCCATATCACAAGTTGACAACCCAGGAGCATTCAATCTTTGATTTCAAACATTTTCCATCCCATATCACAAGTTGACAACCTAGGGGCTTTCAATCTTTGATTTCAAACATTTGCCATCCCATATCAAATACGCTTTTAAATTAATGTTCTCTCCTTATAGGGGTCATCCATTTTTAACAAATCTGTGTGTGCATGTGTGTGTGAGTGTGTGTTTCTGAAAAAAGTTGACTTTTGTGGACGCCTGTGGACTGGAGGGTTTGGGTCATTCTGGACATCCACATGATGAATTTTACATCAAAATACTTACATTACATCTAAAAAATAAAAACATAATAAGTAATTTTGTTTTTGGTATAAACGAGAAATAAAGTAAACAGAGATTGAGGTTGTGAACCCAGGGAGGCTACTACTAGCAAATCTTATGATGGTTAATATTTTAAGGCATCTACGAGTGCAGCAAAAAAATCGTATTAAATAAAAAAATAGATTGTTTAATACTTTGCTGTTTCAAATTTTGTGTACAAAATTCCAAAAAATTTTGTGGACGTCATGAAGCGATGACCCCATAAACAAAATATGTGATATTTCTTGAACCCAACCATCACAACAAAATATGTGATATTTCTTGAACCCAACCATCACAACAAAATATGTGATATTTCTTGAACCCAACCATCACAACAAAATATGTGATATTTCTTGAACCCAGCCATCACAACAAAATATGTGATATTTCTTGAACCCAACCATCACAACAAAATGTGTGATATTTCTTGAACCCAACCATCACAACAAAATGTGTGATATTTCTTGTACCCAACCATCACAACAAAATATGTGATATTTCTTGAACCCAACCATCACAACAAAATATGTGATATTTCTTGAACCCAACCATCACAACAAAATGTGTGATATTTCTTGAACCACTGACTGACCCTATGACTGATGTCCTTGAACTTGCTACTCACCTGGTGGATGTAACTGGTTGTGTGTTTGAGAACTGGCATCAATTTGGGCAAACAAAAGTGGGTCACCTCATGCATCTTGGGGTCAACTAGAATCTCAAATGGGCTGGAAAAAAATATGTCAGTAATCAAGAACATGTGGGTCAAGGAAGACGTGGGCCAAGCAAGAAAAGTGGGCCATGCAAGAAAAGTGGGTCAAGCAAGAAAAGTGGGTCAAGCAAGAAAAGTGGGCCAAGCAAGAAAAGTGGGCCAAGCAAGAAAAGTGGGCCATGCAAGAAAAGTGGGTCAAGCAAGAAAAGTGGGCCAAGCAAGAAAAGGGGGTCAAGCAAGAAAAGTGGGTCAAGCAAGAAAATGGGGTCAAGCAAGAAAAGTGGGTCAAGCAAGAAAAGGGGGTCAAGCAAGAAAAGGGGGTTAAGCAAGAAAAGGGGGTCAAGCAAGAAAAGGGGGTCAAGCAAGAAAAGGGGGTCAAGCAAGAAAAGGGGGTCAAGTAAGAAAAGGGGGTCAAGCAAGAAAAGAAGGGCAATGAGGGGGATGAGAGAAGGTACATGGTACCAGCAGGTACAAGGTACCAACAAGTACAAGAAGGTATGTGGTACCCAACAAGTACAAGAAGGTATGTGGTACCCAACAAGTACAAGAAGGTATGTGGTACCCAACAAGTACAAGAAGGTATGAGGTACCCAACAAGTACAAGAAGGTATGTGGTACCCAACAAGTACAAGAAGGTATGTGGTACCCAACAAGTACAAGAAGGTATGAGGTACCCAACAAGTACAAGAAGGTATGAGGTACCCAACAAGTACAAGAAGGTATGTGGTACCCAACAAGTACAAGAAGGTATGTGGTACCCAACAAGTACAAGAAGGTATGTGGTACCCAACAAGTACAAGAAGGTATGAGGTACCCAACAAGTACAAGAAGGTATGTGGTACCCAACAAGTACAAGAAGGTATGTGGTACCCAACAAGTACAAGAAGGTATGAGGTACCCAACAAGTACAAGAAGGTATGAGGTACCCAACAAGTACAAGAAGGTATGAGGTACCCAACAAGTACAAGAAGGTATGAGGTACCCAACAAGTACAAGAAGGTATGTGGTACCCAACAAGTACAAGAAGGTATGAGGAACCCAACAAGTACAAGAAGGTATGTGGTACCCAACAAGTACAAGAAGGTATGAGGTACCCAACAAGTACAAGAAGGTATGTGGTACCAACAAGTACCGCATAAAGCCATGCTATACAATTGACATGTCCATTTGAACTAGGAGTGCTTTGACATGGCACCAATTGCTTGACTTGCGGAGTGTATGACTTGTGTTGTGGTGCTGAGGTGTTCGGGGTGGTGGGGTGTTTGGGGTGATGAGGTGTTTGGGGTGATGAGGTGTTTGGGGTGGTGGGGTGTTTGGGGTGATGAGGTGTTTGGGGTGATGAGGTGTTTGGGGTGGTGGGGTGTTTGGGGTGGTGGGGTGTTTGGGGTGATGAGGTGTTTGGGGTGGTGGGGTGTTTGGGGTGATGAGGTGTTTGGGGTGATGAGGTGTTTGGGGTGGTGGGGTGTTTGGGGTGATGAGGTGTTTGGGGTGATGAGGTGTTTGGGGTGATGAGGTGTTTGGGGTGGTGGGGTGTTTGGGGTGATGAGGTGTTTGGGGTGGAGGGGTGTTTGGGGTGTTTGGGGTGATGGGGTGTTTGGGGTAATGAGGTGTTGTGGTAGCTGCAGGGAACAATTCAAGTGTTGGGAGTGGGGTGATGTGGTGATATTCTATTCTACAAGGGCAAGTACTTTTGTGTGAATTCTTCAGACTATTATCCAAGGCATAACCAGGTCGTCTAGTATTTTTTAAGAACCTACCCTACAGCAAGAGCAATATTGGGTGCAGCAACAGGTGTAGATAGGAAGTAGTGATATGTCTTCTCCAACATGTCTTCTGTAAACTCCACACTAACTAGATCTCCACAAGAAATAGCTGTCATGTCACGATCTACCGTAACCTCAATCTTCCAAGTGCACGGCTCCGAGCAGGAATCCACACATGGAAACCACAGCCTGCAACAAATAGAGGTCAGTTCAAGGCCGCAACAAATAGAGGTCAGTTCAAGGCCGCAACAAATAGAGGTCAGTTCAAGGCCGCAACAAATAGAGGTCAGTTCAAGGCCGCAACAAATAGAGGTCAGGTTCAAACAAAACATGTTGGAATTTGCATATGTAGCCTACCTGGCAAAGTTTTCCACAGAGTATGTGAACATGTGAGAGCCCCTCTCTGCCACAGTCCCAGGCATGTCGGGTACAACAAAGTGCACACCACCCTGCGCATCCTTCAAGCCAAACTCAACACAAACTTGGAAGCTGCCCAAAACTGAAAGTTGGTGCAAAGACTGTGTTCAACACAATAAAACCATTTTTACAAGTTTTTATTTAACTCACTTCCTCTGTCGGCAGTCTGTCTGTCTAGATCGAAATTGCAGGCACTTGTAACTGACAGATATGGTTCGAAGTTGGGAAGTGGGTCAAGACATGAAGACAATGCAACATGACATTAAATTTGACTTAATTAGTTGCCTGATTAATTTTTTATGAATTAATTAAAATTTTGTCTAAATTAGTAGGCTGTGTCATCAAACTGTTTCCGCGCGTCATCATGTTCAATAGGGCGTTCACGTTCAATAGGTGCGCAATGGTTTTTAGTGATGTAACTCTATTGTAAATAAAACCTGTAAAGCACTAAAAAATTTTTTCATAAAAAACATTTTAATAACAAGCTTTTATATAATAATGCACTAAAAAGGAGAAAATAAATTATACACTACTATTTAAATAACCATAAAGAAAAGCGTGGGTGTCTTCCTTAACATTAGTAAAGATATCCAATAGATACTAAAGTGACCCACGCTTTTCTTTATAGTTATTTAAATTTTAGTGTAAATTTATTTTCTCCTTTTTAGTGCATTATTACTGAAAAGCTTGTTATTAAAACGGTTTTTAAGAAAATTTTTGTAATGGTAGTGTGGATTGTGGTGTGGGTTCTGGTGTGATTGTGGGTTGTAATGTAGGTTGCGGTGTGGATTGTGGTTGTGGTGAAGGTTGTGGTGTGGTTTGTGGTGTGGGTTGTGGTTGTGGTGGGCTTGTGGTGTGTAGGTTGTGGTGAAGGTTGTGGTTGTGGTGTATAGGTTGTGGTGTGGTAAAGGTTGTGGTGTAGGTTGTGGTGTGGGTTGTGGTTGTGGTGAAGGTTGTGGTGAAGGTTGTGGTGTGGGTTGTGGTGTAGGTTGTGGTTGTGGTGTAGGTTGTGGTTGTGGTGTAGGTTGTGGTTGTGGTGTATGTTGTGGTGTAGGTTGTGGTGTGGGTTGTGGTGTAGGTTGTGGTGTGGGTTGTGGTGTAGGTTGTGGTGTGGGTTGTGGTGTAGGTTGTGGTGTAGGTTGTGGTGTGGGTTGTGGTGTAGGTTGTGGTGTAGGTTGTGGTGTGGGTTGTGGTGTAGGTTGTGGTGTAGGTTGTGGTTGTGGTGAAGGTTGTGGTGTGGGTTGTGGTGTAGGTTGTGGTGTGGGTTGTGGTTGTGGTGTAGGTTGTATTGTGGGGTGTGGTGTAGATTGTGGTGTAGTTGTGGTGTGGGTTGTGGTTGTCTTGAACGTTGTGGTTGTGGTGTGGGTTGTGGTGTGGTGTAGGTTGTGGTTGTGGTTTGGGTTGTGGTGAAGGTTGTGGTTGTGGTGTGGGTTGTGGTTGGGGTGTGGTGTAGGTTGTGGTGTAGGTTGTGGTGTTGGTTGTGGTGTAGGTTGTGGTGTTGGTTGTGGTGTGGGTTGTGGTGTGTAGGTTGTGGTGTGGGTTGTGGTGAAGGTTGTGGTGTGAGTTGTGGTTGTGGTGAACGTTGTGGTTGTGGTGTGGGTTGTGGTGTGGTGTAGGTTGTGGTTTGGGTTGTGGTGTAGGTTGTGGTTTGGGTTGTGGTGTGGGTTGTGGTGTGGGTTGTGGTGTGGGTTGTGGTGAACATTGTGGTTGTGGTGTAGGTTGTGGTGTGGGTTGTGGTGAACATTGTGGTTGTGGTGTGGGTTGTGGTGTAGGTTGTGGTGTGGGTTGTGGTGTGGGTTGTGGTGAACATTGTGGTTGTGGTGTAGGTTGTGGTGTGGGTTGTGGTGAACATTGTGGTTGTGGTGTGGGTTGTGGTGTGGTGTGGTGTAGGTTGTGGTTTGGGTTGTGGTGTGGGTTGTGGTTTGGGTGTGGTGTGGCGTAGGTTGTGGTTGTGGTGTGTGGGTTGTGGTGTGGTGTGGTGTAGGTTGTGGTGTGGGTTGTGGTGTAGGTTGTGGTGAAGGTTGTGGTGTGGGTTGTGGTTGTGGTGTGGGTTGTGGTGTGGTGTGGTGTGGTGTAGGTTGTGGTGTGGGTTGGGGTGTGGTGTGGTGTTGGTTGTGGTGTGGGTTGTGGTGTGTAGGTTGTGGTGTGGGTTGTGGTGAAGGTTGTAGTGTGGGTTGTGGTTTGGGTGTGGTGTGGCGTAGGTTGTGGTTGTGGTGTGTAGGTTGTGGTGTGGGTTGTGGTGAAGGTTGTGGTGTGGTGTGTAGGTTCTGGTGTAGGTTATGGTGCGGTGTGTGGTTGGGTACAATAAAACCACTAGTATTTTTGTCTGTCAAGCCCACCTGAAACAGTAGATAAAATCTCCTTTGGGAATGTGATGATAAGCTCTCCATTTCCTAGGTCAGGGTCAACTGCGTTCAATGCATTCTTCTGACATTTTTGAAAGTAGTCAATGTTACGTCTGTAAACAGCAATTACATTTTAACACAATATTATTTTAGGCAGCTACATTAGATGAGAAGTATGATATATCTATCTATTTATCTATCAATATATATATATATATATATATATATATATATATATAAGGCCACATCACAAGTGACAAGCATATCCATAACACAATGAATACATTAATTTAATTAATATAAATTACAAAAAAAAAAGTTACAATTATACATAAGGTATACACTATATGTAAACACAGCTAAATTAAGTCTGTCCTAATATAATTCTGGACACAGAGAGGAAACACAGAGAGGAAAGAAATAATGTTAATAATGGGCTCCCCACCCTCCCCCACCACAGTACATAATGCGCTTCATCCAAATTTAAAACACACATTCACACCTGGATTTTCCCCACCCTCCCCCACCACAGTACATTGTCACCCCTACTCCCTCAAACATGATCTCATACTTAAGCTCACTCCCACATATTATGGATTGTTATTGTAAATGTATTCAGTTTTTTCAAATATATTTAACCTCACTCCCACATATTTGGATTGTTATTGTAAATGTATTCAGTTTTTTCAAATATACTTAACCTCACTCCCACATATTATGGATTGTTATTGTAAATGTATTCAGTTTTTTCAAATAAACTTAAGCTCACTCCTACATATTATGGATTGTTATTGTAAATGTATTCAGTTTTTTCAAATAAAATAAATTGCACAACTTGAAACACCTGTGCACCAACAGAGCTAATGGATATGTAATAACGTTACAAGATTTATAGAGCAATATTTCATGAATTTTTAAAAAACTAACTCATCTGATTGTATCAAAAATGTTATTGGGTCTAGACCTATATGTCAAGTTTGAAACAAATCAGATTGGTAGAAGTGGGTGACATTGCAAGGCTCAACCCATGATGGAAAAAGATAAAAGCTGAGACTCGAGTTAAATAAAAGGTTGTCATTTTTTTTAAAAATTTATTATTAGCATTCAAGATTAAAGGTGAAATTAATGACTTAATAAGGTTTTTATAACAAAGCATTGACTTAAAAACAGAGCTTCTAAAACAATTCATTCATTAAATTAGGTATAATAACAAGGCACTTACTTGATGGGGTTCCCCTGACAAATGTTAAGAGTTGGATCAAAGTATGTAAACTCTGCATCCCATTTTTTATCAATGCTCACACGATAAATAACTGGGCTAGCATTAAAGAGAATTTGGTTCATTTTTTAGTTGACTACCATTTATCAAAAGTGAAAATCTATGGATGGTTGAAAAATGTGTGGCTTATAGTTTGTAAAGGATACTGCATTGTTTACTGTTAATTCTTATTTCTGTCAAGTCTGGCACTGTTGGCCAAACAGTTAGTTCTACATAGCCCTGGAGAAGAATAAACAGAGTACAGGCAAAATACATTTCTTTTTAATAACTACAAACATAAGAGCACTATGCATGGTAATACAACCTATTGTGTTAACAATTATCAACTAACATCTCTAGGAAAAATGTGTTGACAACTGGGACATTATCACTCACCACCAATGACTTGTTAACATTATCACTCACCACCAATGACTTGTTATCAAAATTTTATCACTCACCACCAATGACTTGTTATCAAAATTTTATCACTCACCACCAATGACTTGTTATCAAAATTGATCCCATTGATGCAGAGAATTTGATGAGCTGCATTGATAGAAAACATTAGAAAGCTGATAGAATCTTTTCTTCATTTAAATAAAAGTTTTAAAAAACTGACTTGGGAATTTTTCTCCGCTAATAATGATTTGGAACAAAAAGTTAATTTATGCAAAATTTTGTTTACTATTGTGAAAGAAATTATTGATACTTTTTTCTTAACCCTTTATTTACGGAATTAAATTCTGAATGAAACTTTTTCTTAAACAATGTGTTATTATATTGCTTTTGGCACACTAAAAGCATACGTTGAAGGAAATTTAGTTTTGTACATTTTTGATGGCCCAAATACATGCAGGAATGCAGGACGTTCAAAACAGGAGTAACTGTAAAATTTAATAATTAATAACATGCCGATCATTATAACAATCATTTTTGTAACTTTCACACATAAACACAACACAAAAGTATATTTTGAGTATGGTTTTATAGTAGATTTTCTATGGGAACACATCTTAGACTTTCTTCAGACTGTACCAAACACAGCAAACCTTAGACTTTCTTCAGACTGTACCAAACACAGCAAACGTTGCCGACTTGTCCTGCTCCCTTCATATATTATGTCTTAACTCTGGCTGACTGGAAGCTTACAACACTTGATTAGGAAGCAGAGATCAATCACTATTATTTTCTGATTCAGTAGGAAGCAGAGATCAATCACTATTATTTTCTGATTCAGTAGAAAGCAGAGATCAATCACTATTATTTTCTGATTCAGTAGGAAGCAGAGATCAATCACTATTATTTTCTGATTTAGTAGGAAGCAGAGATCAATCACTATTATTTTCTCATTCAGTAGGAAGCAGAGATCAATCACTATTATTTTCTCATTCAGTAGGAAGCAGAGATCAATCACTATTATTTTCTGATTCAGTAGGAAGCAAAGATCAATCACTATTATTTTCTGATTCAGTAGGAAGCAGGGATCAATCACTATTATTTTCTGATTCAGTAGGAAGCAGGGATCAATCACTATTATTTTCTGATTCAGTAGGAAGCAGAGATCAATCACTATTATTTTCTGATTCAGTGTAGTAAGTTGATGGACCAGCTCCTTTCATCAGTTGTGTCACCATCTAATTGTAACCTCCAGTAGACACTTATCTTCTTTTCCTTATAGATAATTCTCAGATGACAGGAGATCTAGAAAAAATATATGTTTACCATGTAAGTATTTGGTATCTACTTTTTTGTTACACTTTTACTACTAGAAATCTAAATTTAATTATAATATTTGTTATGTAAACCATATGCTAACCTTCTTCCAAATATATAAATATCATGTTTTGAGTACATTTTGATAATTTATCATCAAAATAATATTTATGTCAACATCAAATCAGCCATTTCCAAGAAATCCGTTAAAAAGTTACTGTGAGCCCTGACGATACTCCAAAGTATTTGTGTAAAAAATTGATTTAATACAAAGACAATTTGATTAAAATTGTATAAATAGAAGTTAACACACTTACCTGACTATTGAAGATGCCAATAAAAAAATATTTGGGCTTGAAAACTTAAATATTAAGGTTACATAAAGAAAATTTTAGGTGTGAGGTCTGTACAGCACGATTGTGAACTACCGATCCCGGAAGAGATTGAAAATAGCACAGCTCCGATTATTTTCGAAAAAACATCTATCTCGCCATCTCCCGCTGACTCAAGGGTATAATACTATTGCTTATATAAATAATTTTAAAAATTCATCTTAAATTAAAAATAATACAGGCACTTAAAGTGGTACTTTTAAGTAACGTCAGTAGATAAAGGGTTAAATAAAAATGTAGGTATTGTCATCAAAATGTCTAAGATCTAGACTCTAGCTCTGGAGTATAGTTAGTGATTAGAGACATAGATTTAATTTGTAGTTAACTACGAATAGACACTTTCTATATTGATTGGACTTAATGAGTAAATCATCACACCATGAGTAAATGGTTCAGTCTTAGCTTTATATACATGACAACAACTGGGAATAATTCTCAGGTCCTTAAATAATTCTCAGGTCCTTACGTGTGGTTACATATCACCCCCCCCCCCCTATAATGACATTTTATTATAATCTTTTTGCTGAAAACACAGCACAGGAAACGTGTGCCAATCATTTGGCTGTAGGCCTGTAGGCTAGTTATTAGTCGCGTCATATCTAAATAATAGAATGCATTGCGCTTTCCTCATTGATGATGTTTTTATTATTTTTTAAAGTTAAGATTGCAGTTTTTGTAACATGGTATATTTACCCTTTGTCAATTTAAAAAGCATGGCATGTTAATTATTTAATAATTATGTACAAATATTGTCATAAAACACAAAAATATAGGTTAAGTTTGATTTTCTTATTTTATTACCATTATCCCTCAACCCTATACAAAACTAAAGGCTACATTAATTATTTTTTAAACTGTTTATTGATTGTGTTACTGTACAGCCAATCAATATTTGTCTTAAGAATGTGAAACATCCGGTTATAACTTAGGCTTGATGAAAATAAATAGAAATGTAGCCTTAAATAGCCATTTTGATGAACATTTCAAAATTATTTTTTTTTATAAAAATGTATCAATAATAGCTAGCACACTAGTAAACTAAGCCAATTTATCATATTTTAATTTTCTGTGCAAAGTCATTATTACTGAAAAAATTCCAATGTCAGGTCAGCCTGTGGCACATTCCACTGAACTTGACTGAAGGAAAAAATACTTGACCTGTGACCTACATTAAAACAGAGTTTACTTTTGTTTTTTACTTTCTCCTTTATACAAATTATAGAGAAAGTATTGTAATTGTGCAAAAAAAAAAAAAAAAAAAAAAAAAAATTTGTAAAAATCTTGACGGTTTACACCTCACTGATACTGAAAAACATAATTTTGCAATCTTGTCCGTATGTCTGTCTGTGTGTCTGTCTGTGTGTAAACACCATAACTTGAGTACCGTTACAGCTATGTTGATGAAATTTCATATATAAGTATTTTATCAAAATCGTAGATCCTGATCTACTTTTGACGATTTCAGATAACCGGAAGTGGTATTTTTTCTACTTTGAATTTTTCGATTCTTTTTTCTATGATATTCTATTCTATTTTTTAAAAGTTTAAGTAATTAAAAACCATGTCTATATTCCAAGTTATATAAGAATATTCGAGAAAGTTTAGGGGAGATCACTCCCTGTTTATTTTTACTAAAAGTAAAAATGTGCTTAATCTTACTTAAATAAGTAATGAAATTTTGAAAATTAATTTTAATTACTGTTGTAAAGTGAGATAAACAGCTTCATAAACACGTTTTCTTGAGGGGGTGTGACCCGGGTGTGGCACATCGCAATTGGAACTTTATATTTCTGTGTTTTATGACTATATTTATACACAATCAGCATGCTAAAACCTGCAATCTAACTAATAATTCATAATTTTAGTTTAAAAAATAATAAAAACGATCATCAATGAAGAAAGCGTAAACATTCTATTTTTAGGGTATGACATAAAAAAACAGTCATAAATCTAGCCAAATGATTGGATTTTTGTGCGGCACTCTTTTTCCAGCGCCTGGTTTTCACCAAAAAAGATTAAAATAAAATGGCATTATTGAGGGGTGATCATTACCCACGAGCAATCTCATAAACCCCATAAATTATTACCAGTTAATTGTAATGTGTGTTAAATTAATACTTTAGAGTTTACATTTCACATAGCTGGTTTACGTTTTAAGCGATATTTCAGAGATGTGCTAAAACTCAAAGCTTGACATTTCACAGTATTCTATTTATAAAATGTTTACTGAAGTTGACATATCCTTTGATAAATTCTTAAACTGACATTATAATGAAAGTGTTCATGTTTTCTTTCTATTATAGTAGCCTATAACTAAAACTGTAATGCAGTGCATCTTATAAAATTGGGCATTATTATTTTTAATTTAGGCCCTTTATAGATCTAGATAGGCCTGTCAGTAGGCCCTATTTACATTTAGGCCTAATAGTTTTTTTATATATTAATATTACACATCTCTAGACCGAATATTATTTTAGTGTTTTCATTTCCATTTAGATCTAGATTCAATTTTTTTTTAATTGTTTGCAATAAATATAGATTTATTTCTACCTGAAAATGCCTTTATAATCTATTTATCTGCAATTCGTTAATTCTAGTTTGCTAGATCTAGATAACCTGGTATTAAGAAGGTTAATAAAAATCTGGCTAATTTAAAATTTTATAATTTAGGCAGCAATTAATTACATTCTTTTCATTTTTAATTTAATAATTTAGATCTACAGTATATTTATTTTAAAGCCCATTTTATTGTAGCAGTCCATTTAAAAACAAACAGCTATTAAAAAACATCATATGCGCATATCTGTTAATATCTCAGAACTCGGCCGCCATTATGAAATTACGCATGCTTTCTCGTTCCTACCCTATTAGTTTTATCGCGCTACTCCTCATTGCCCCATGCTTAAAAACCCTTAAAATCGACATTTCTATTTATCCAAATGGTGGGCATGCTATTTACTATTTAGACATTTTCATGCAATTTAGATGATTATTTATATCTGAAATTTAGTTGTCAATGCACCAGTTCGGTAGCGTCGGCATATCAACAAATATTTGCTATTATCGTTGATCCCTTTCGGTATCGGACAATGTAAAACGGGAGCTAATTCATTTAATAGTATTTAGGGCCTATAAAAGATGAAATAAAACTCAAATATTCATATCGAATACATTTTATTCTTTGATTCCGATAACGAGAATTAACATGTTAAAAAATGGTGACTTTCAACAAGTACGATGAAAAAGTCTGGATGTGGTCGTACCGAATCGAAACAGCGGAAGTCAAATCAAAATGCCTACCTTAATCAACAAAATATTTTCAAGTTCTCTGGATTTGCAACTTTTATAGCATTGATTCTATAAATTTAAAATTTCTGAATTAATTTTAGGCTTCTATTTTTACGGTCGCTTTGTTTGCTAAATTTAAAAAAGCATGTTTTTATTCCATGTCAACATGATGGAAGGATTCTCAACCCGCTCACGTCCATTAGAAACTTTTTTTTAATTAGAAAGTGATAGGGCGTAGGTAGGGCCTAAAATAAATTGTGTTTTTATAATAAAGCCATTTCTTATAATAAGGCTATCGCGTGTTATATTCTTCTTCTTTTAAAATAACTCACAAACTTTAAATAGTCGAGCTAGTTCAGGCTTTGTATCTTTTTTCATGATTTTAAAAGCCTTTTGTTTTCAAATTTTGCAGGGGGCTGCCATCTTGGTATGATCTAGATATCTAGCAGTCAATGTATTGTAGACTAACTTTGCAGTTTTTGTGAAAATAGCGCTAGGGGGGGTTTACACCTACGACATGTGCAACACAAAGCCCGCCAAAGTTTTTTTGTTTTTTTTAAACAATTTTTATCTGGAAACACTTTCTTCACATATTATGTTTACTTTAGCGTTCACACTTACAGAACATGTTACAAAACATGTTGAACATGAAATTTGACTTGAAGCGACTGCTAGCTAGGCATAGATAAATAATAGAAAGAGTCAAAGTAAAAAAAAAAGAAACACGTTGATAGCAGTGGCGGAACTAGAAAAAAAGGGCCACCCCGCAAAAAATTTTTTTTGGCCCCCCCCCCCATATAATATATAGACATATATATATATATATATATATATATATATATATATATATATATATATATATATATATATATATATATATATATATATATATATATATATATATATATATATATACTCAAACACAAAATACGAACATAGGATACTCATTGCTGGCCTGTTCGTGTTTTGAGAAATACGTGGGGTTTTTTTTTTAAATTAAAACAAATTACAACATCATGTCATGTGTGTAAGTGCATTAGTCTGTTTTGTAAAAATCAGTTTTATATTATTTCTACCATTAGACCTCTAACCTCTTATCGGTCAAAAGAATATGTAACATGAAAGCTTTCTGTAAATAATGGTGTCTCGTGTCATGTTTATTTTTATGTTTTTTTGTATTTATATTATTAATTTTAAATACATTTTCTTTTTATACAGTGTCATTCTTTAGTAAGTAATTTATAAACAAATAACGATAAAGATAAGTAATTGCTTTTTACAAGCTTTTATTTAACTCACTTCTTCTGTCGTCAGTCGTCAGTCGTCAGTCTAGACGGAAACGCAGGAGTGAAAATTCGGACAGTTCTACTTGACCGACACGATTCACAGTTGGCACGTGGGTCAAGACATGAAGACAATGCAATCTGAAACTAAATTTGACTTAATTGGATGCCTAATTAATTTTTATGAATTAATAAAAATTTGGACCGAATTATTAGGCATGTCTAGCCAACCACACCACACGCGTCATCACCTTCAATAGCTGCGCCATCACGTAATGGCTGCGTTCAAAAACCATTGCGCGCCTACTGAACGTGATGTTCAGTAGGCGCGCAATGGTTTTTAGTCATGTAACTCTATTGTAAATAAAACATGTAAAGTACTGGAAAAAAATTCATAAAAAACGTTTTAATAACAAGCTTTTATGTAATGATGCACTAAAAAGTAGAAAATAAATTATAGACTACTATTTAAATAATAACTATAAAGAAAAGCGTGGGTGTCTTCCTTAACATTAGTAAAGGTATCTAATAGATACTAAAGTGACCCACGCTTTTCTTTATAGTTATTTAAATAGTAGTCTATAATTTATTTTCTACTTTTTAGTGCATCGTTACATAAAAGCTTGTTATTAAAACGTTTTTATGATTTTTTTTTTAATTTGTTTAGTACAAATCTATTAAAAGGAGCTTATGAGCACCACTATTTGACTATTTAAATAAACCGGGAGTGATCTCCCCTAAACTTTCTCGAATATTCTTATATAAAATAACAGGGGATGGAAACTCGGGCTATAGACATGATTTTTAATCCATTTTAAATACTTAAAGTTTTAAAAATAGAATAAAATCTCGTAGACAAATTAATTGCACACCAAGTGAACGCAAATAAAAAAAGCGCATAATAGTGCGCAATATTATTAGTACTTTTAAAATTTACATTAGTTTTTTGAGAAATCGGAAGTAGCGTAAATTACTACTTCCAGTCAACGGAAATTACTCAAAATTTAACAGAAGGTAGAGAATTAGATCTTTTACTTACATGTGAAATTTCATTTATCTATCTGAAATAGTACTCAAGTTATAGGCTTTTAAAAAATTCAAAGTAGGAAAAGTACCACTTCCGGTTATCGGAAATCGCTCAAAAGTTGATACGGATCTACGATTTTGATAAAATACTTATATATGAAATTTCATCAACCTAGCTGTAACGGTACTCAAGTTATCGTGTTTACACACGGACAGACACACACACACACAGACATACGGACAAGATTGCAAAATTATGTTTTTCCGTATCAGTGAGGTGTAAAACGTCGAGATTTGTAAAAATCTCGATTTTTTTTTTTTGCACGATTACAATACTTTCTCTATACTACGTATATACGAGAAAGTAAAAAGGGAAATAAGTTATGGAAGTGGTTTGAACGTTTGCTTATCTTAGATAAGTTTGATTGTAGGAGAAAGAGGACTCGGCTTTCACAGTGGTTTAACAACGAAGGAAAAATGAGCGTGTGGTGGTGTCTATAAAATAAAGATAATCCAACCGCAGCTACGGTAATCTTTTTTACACAACAAACATTAAATAAAAAATGCAAGAACTTTTTTTTTAACTATAACAATTTTTAAATGGTCGGCCGTGGGCCCCTAAATGGCGTGGGCCCCCCGCATT